CGACTATTGCTAGAGACACTGTAAACAAGACTTTAAGCACAATATCTGCGACATGCGTAAAAGACCAAGCACGAAATTCAGAGACTTGTTTTCGTCCATCCATCATGACGTCTCCCACATTACCGAACACCAGGAGGAACTACAGTGCTCTAACACTCATATGCACTAACGTTCCTGAATCCAAAGCAAATTCTCTGAGAGGTAAGCAACAGGACGATCTGAATCAGTGGAATCTCATTTGCGGTCGCATAGGTGCTAGGGTCAAGCCGACTAACATCACGCGGGTGACGAGACATCCAACCTCCGTTCACTATGGTGAGCCCAGAATTCTGCGGATAACACTGACATCCACTGACGATGTAGAGGCGGTGCTCTTATCGGCATATCACCTCCGAGATGAAGACAGTAAGATCCGCATCTTTCCGGATGTTCCATGGAGCGAACGTCAGCGAGAAAAAAACAATTTAGACGATCGCAACACGGCTAGCTGGCGAAAAACCATTTTAGTTCATGGTGTGCCCGAACTACCAACAGCTAGGGACGAGGAGGCTCATGCTCACGATCTGGAAGAATGGCGGTACATCCGTGAAACTCTATCTGCAGGCGACGTCATCCTTCAGTCGATTTCTAGACTGCCCGTTTCACCTCATTACAAAGGTAATGGTCCAAGGATACTGAAACTTGTGGTTCAGTCCCAGCAGATGGCGGCAAACTTAATGCGTAACTGGCATAAAATGCACAATGCAATGCCATCCGAACTACGATTTAAGGTACCGTTTATTGAATCGAAGCCACTGGAGGATGTGACACCATCTGTGGCTCAATGTGACAAAATAAACGGAGCCGAAGACACTGCATCAAGATTATCAACCACTGAAAACGACGCAATTGAAGTGCGTTCTGCGTGTGTAGGAACGACGTTAGGCGGGCTGCAGGCCCGTGCAAAATGCTCATCGATAAACTGCGCAAAAAACGATCAGATGCCGGCCTTTCATCGGCCGGCTTAAATCCAACTTCGTGTAATCCTCCACAAGCTCTTTTGGTGCTCAAGCAGCTGTCCTGTATGTACACTAACGCTCAAAGTCTACTTAAAAAACTACCCGAACTGCGACTACGTCAAAGGTCCAAATCGTGTGACCTCGTCGCTATAACGGAGACGTGGTTGCGCCCGGATATCACAGACACGGAGGTCGAGCTACCAGGCATGTCCGTCGTTCGGCGCGATCGATCCAGTAAAGGGGGCGGGGTGGCTCTGTACTACCGCAGTGACCTCCATTGTGAGCCCATAGAAGACGTGTACAGTAACGTGCAGGATACTCTTTGGTGTCGGCTGCGTTTAACAGACAACGACGTCTCTCTGGTGTCGGTCGTTTATCGACCTCCATCCTCTACACTCGAGATGGACTTCAATCTCGCGTCTGCGCTGAGGCTTATGATCAGCAGGAGATACAGCCATATTCTTATCGCTGGTGACTTCAATATCCACACTCTGGATGCCCAAGCAACACCTACGGAACAGTTCAAAGCGGATCTACAAGACCTTGTCTCCAGTTTTCCGCTTTATGGCCATATCTGCCACCCCACCAGATTCAGAGCAGCAGAAAGGCCGTCCATCCTGGACCGGATATTTACCAACGAAGAACTCATGGTCGAGAAAGTAATCATCGAGGCTCCTTTGGGTTGCAGCGATCATGCAGTTTTACTCTTCGATTATATATGCTACGCAGAATACCCTGCGGATACTACACGGGAAAGCCGAGTTATCATACGGTACGATGAGGTGGCTCGACTTGCAGAGACAGCCAACTGGAACTTTCTGACAGACGAAGTACCGACAATCGCATGGCCACATTTCGTCAAGCAATTTATCACGTTCGTCGGAGAGGCATCCGAAACTAAGGTTGTCCACTCGAAGAAGACTGTTTCATTTGTGCGAAGTAGGACACGGAAATGTATGGCAGTGAGGAACTCGGCCTGGCGTATCTATAAGGAACACCCGAGCACGGAGAGCTGGACGGCCTATGCAATTCAACGTAATCATTGCACTCAACTCGTTCGTGAGGATAAACTGACATACCAGCAGCATCTGACGGAGCGCATGGTTTCGAATCATAAGCTGCTTTACCAACATGTAAACAACCTGCGCAAGGTGAAACGGGGAATCCCTCCTCTTCAAACGCCAGATGGCATGACGCTGACTACAGAGGATGCGGCGAACGCCTTGCGGCTGCAATATGCTTCGAACTTTCAATGCATTCCTTGATCATCTGTTCCTTTGTCAGCAGCTGTTTTACAACCAAAACTTACGCACATAACTTTCACGGCGGGAGTGGTATTAAAGAAGTTGTTGTGTATGCGTAAGCACAGCTCTCCTGGAATCGACAAAATTCACCCTAAGTCCCTTGCGGTAATGGGAGAAAGTTTAGCAGAGCCTCTGGCGCTATTCTTCCAACGCTGTTTCGATCAGATGTATGTACCAGAGATGTGGAAATGTGGGATCATAACCCCAATTCACAAGGGCGGTAGCCGTTCTGATCCAGCCAACTACCGTCCTGTAACCCTTCTCCCGGTCCTTTCAAAAGTTATGGAAGCTATTTTTGCTGACGTATTAACAGCCTATCTAGAAGAGTCTGCCTTCCTTGCACATGAACAGCATGGTTTTCGACGGAATCGATCGTGCACCACAAATCTGCTGCTAGCAAGATCGAGTTGGACCAAATTAATTGACCGCGGTGCAGGAGTGGACGTGGTGTACCTAGATTTCTCAAAGGCCTTCGATCGACTAGACCATGGAATCCTGATCTGCAAACTTCGGAGCTTCGGCATTGGTGATCCGCTCCTAGGATGGATCACAAGCTTTCTTCTCCACCGGAGCTTAGAGGTAAAAGTGCGTGGGTCCCTGTCCCACCCAATCCAAGTCGAATGTGGTGTACCACAAGGATCGGTACTAGGGCCACGATTGTTTTTGATGTATATTGACGACATAGCGGCCCTCATTCTTTCCAACTGCCTACTCTATGCCGACGACACCAAGGTCTGGAGAGCGATCAATACACCAGACGACTCCGCAATACTTCAAGAGGATCTGGATAAGGTGTATGCGTGGTCAGTTCAGCACCAACTCCCACTCAACACAGAAAAGTGCAGAGTATTACACTTACGTCACCAATCAGCATTTTTCTATAAACTGGGTGACCATGTGCTTTACACAACTGCTGAGGAAAAGGATTTAGGAGTCTTGATTCAGTCCGACCTTGGTTGTTCAGCCCAGGCAAAGAAAGCATCGAACGCGAGCATTCGAAAGTTGGGCCTTCTCCGGCGCACATTTGGACGCTTCGATCCATCCGTTTTTCACCAACTTCTAGGTGCATACATACGACCAAACGTGGAGTATGCAAAACAAGTCTGACAGCCGTGGCTGAGGAAAGACCTCTCTGATTTAGAGAAACCTCAACGACGCCCAACGAAGAACGTGAAAGGTTTAGGCCAGTTACGCTACGAAGACAGACTGAGATTGCTCGGGATATTTAGTGGTCAATATCGACGACTACGGGGAGATTTGATTTTGGCTTATTAGATTCTGACAGACCCCAATCATACCTGCCGCCATCTGCTGGAGCTCAGTAACAACAACAATCTGAGAGGCCATCATCTGAAGCTGGCAGTGCAGTACAGCCGTTTGGAATGTCGACGGAATTTCTTCTCCGTGCGTGTTTGCCAAGCCTGGAATGCTCTCCCAGAATCTGTAGTCAGTGCACCCAACCTGATCGAGTTCAAAAATCGAGTTGATAGTGCACTCACTTCATTGCACTATCTCCCATAGTACAGTCTAATTTTGAGAGATCCAAAATCCATACTTTAAAATTAATTTTCCCCACGCAAATTTCAACAGTGGATTTATATTTTGACGCTTCAAACTCAAACACTTTGCCCCATGCGAATTTCTAGGGGTGGTGACTCTTTTAACCAAATACTCCATACCTCATTATCCCCTCCGGAGTTATAGTGGATTATTATTTTGACACTTCAAACTCGGTGATTCCACAAGCTTGTAGTGACTCGTTGTTAAACGATTTTACTGAATTGGTTTCCATTGAATTTTTCACACTTCTATGATTTTCGCACTGATCATCCTACGGGATTTGTCAAGCTTTAGCTTTTATACCCGCATAAATCCATTGTTCCACTGTTAAAACTTATAAACTAATTGTACGAGGAACCAAGATGGCTGTTTGATCTAACTTCTTTCTCGTCAGATACGCCGTTCTGTGGAATAGCCTACCTGTCATTCTTAGGTTCTGTACAGTTACAGGAATATTTCTCATTGAACTTGGAAGTTTTCTGGGCCCGAACTCGATGGTGACTATGTTTTTATTGGGAAAATCATCAAATGAGTTCTTCTAAGATGAGCTGATGAATATATAATGAGTGGGGAAGACTGCTGCGATCAACTAAGCGTCAGCCACAACCGTGTGTTTCAGAATGCCTTAATAACATGGAGGTTCCAGAATAACTATCTCACTCATGCGTGAGCATGATCTTAACTGTACTAATGATCTGTGTCTATTCCTGGAACAGTCCATCTCACATTCGGGAAATAGGCGTATTATCGGGTACATGTCCTAGCGGTACAAATCACCGACTTGGATGTCGCTTGAACTTAGGTCCGAATGCCGAGTGACGCATATTGCTAATACATCTGTCTAACGCTTTTTAACAGATGCGGCGTTAGCTGACTGTGTCCAGTTTGTCCGGGTACCACTAACAGTACCACAGATACCCGTATTTGTGATGAATTCAACGGTTATTTACTTCACTACGTGCCACACCTCTCTTTTGAAACTTCTTGTCGCGCAACTCAAGCACACTGCATGTATTTTAACGTAGAGCCTTGCACGCAGCGACCTTGGTTCTTGTGTATTTCTTTTACCATTGTCATTTTGTTTGTGCATGCTTGTGGGACACCTCGACATACTTGTCTTGGTATTTGACTCAACAGGATGTTTTCCGAACCGACGGAGGTGGCGGAACCAACTCCTCCTCCTCCTATTCCTCCATCATCTCTCGATCGACCGGTGGATATCAAAGGCAATCTGGATCTAGTTGAACAGACTTTCGAAGAGGAACTGGCCCTAAAGCATGAAATCGAAGACCTGGGTTACTTTTTCCCTGAGTGTTGGTACGCCGAAGACGGACGTCCGAAACCGAGATATTTTTGTGGTTTTCTCCAAGGCCTGATCTCCCGCTTGACCGATTCTTCCGGAGTCACTTTGTCCCACTTCGCCATGGAACACCAATGGCTGTTTGGGCCACAGGCCGTGAGACGTTTGGTATTTGTAAGTTTGTCACTAATCAATATTGTACATGACTTTCCATAGTTAATGGAAGATACCGACCATCGCTTTTTGTTGGTCGTGTCACCGATACCCTTTTGCTTGAGCCAGGCCTAGTTGTCTACTTATAATACTAATACTAATAATCATATTAGTTGCCGTTTCTCATTTGTGCATGAAACTGTACCCCTTTTGGGATAGATCATCTTGTTCTCTCTCTTGTACGAAAACTGCAAGGTTGGAAGATATATTTATTCAGGTATGTTGTCGGCACAGTCACTGAGACACATATTTTCCAGCTGCGCTCGGTTGGAGATAGCGTGTTAGATTAGGGAATGTGAGTTTTGGATTGAATCATAGGTAATGCTTCTCCTCTGCAAAGCAAACATTCCCATTTCGTTGACAAAACTGGAGATTAAAAATTGGTGCTGGACAAAAGTTCTTTTGACGCTGGCTACTCTTAATTCCTGCTATATAAATATTAGGGTCTGCTGATAGTTTATACGAGAAGAACTCTCACTCATTTCTGGTTTTAATGTTTACTAATTTGAGTGTTTTGTACATACTGTGCATCTTTCCTTAAGGGAAAAGGCACAATGACCCTTGGTGGCACTTTAACTTCGGTACACAAAACTGGTTGGACAAACATTTATGGGGACGCATCGCTGCGTGATCAGCGTTTGTGCAAAAGGTGAACAGCTGCTGAATAACCAGCTCGCAAATCCAATTTCCGTCTCTAATTCCATATGTACGTTTTCCGGAGGGTCTGCTGATTCGTTTTGAGAGTCTAACGCCGAGACCTGGCTTTTACCTGTTCCTCATCCAAACCAACCTTGGGCGGTAATCCAAACGGTATATCGGAGAAATGGAGAGTTTCCGCAACTTCGCAGAGCATTACTAAGCTAATCGAAACAAAGTGCCGATAACTGTGCCACTAAAGTATTTGGCTCTATCGTATAATTCTGTATCGTTGGTACGTAACTCACTTCCGGTAACTTATGGCGGAGTATACTTTCTTGTTGGACAGAGAATGGAAGTCTCACTTGAGCCTATAGTCTCATCAGTTCAACGTTAATAAACCGAGTTAATAGAGTGATTTGGTGTAAGTGAAAAGGTTGTTAAATTAGGACTCATTTCCTCTTGTCGCGCTATATCAACGCTGACGTTTATTTGTATATTTGTATCCCTGCATGTTGGTTCTTGCAAGGGACTAACATCAACCGTACTTGCCGACACAAATCAATCCCTTTATTGCGTATTGTCGGAATGTGTCTCAACCTCGTCAACCAGACAGAACTACAAATCCATATATGCCCGTATGCAAGCCTACCGTTCGTCAGTAATCGCTTATCTAGCACGATTTTTGTTTGACCAAACCAAAGTTGTCCAAGAATTAACAAATCGGCTCATGCTATGATGATATTGCTTTTTTCAGTTATTGATCCATTTTTGAATTGCATTTATATCATGCAGTATAGCTTAAAACGTGTGTGTTACAGTGAATATCCACTCGTTCTGAGTGCATGAAGCACTTTCTTAACTTGACTTGGCTTACCTCCCTTCATGTCTATGCTTCCACTTGATGATAGCGAATTTTTGAGCTACATGAAATTAGCGCTGGGGCAGGGTGTCCTTGTTGACTTGGTTCGTGCAGGTCGGAGGACCCAGTTGTCCGACATGCTTATCTTCTCATTTCCACGCCGTCGATCTACTGCATTCTGATATGAATTGCTTGTGATTTGTCGTTCATATCACTTGAAAGTACTTCTGATTAGAGGTTATTTAAATTGCACGTTCATCCTGGCCTTTGTTGCTAAGCTTTCTCCTCTGGATAACTCTAAGTATGCTCATTAGTGCGCTGGATTGCCCCTCAGATTATGCTTCCATCACCAAGTTACTCGAGTCGGGTTGTTAGCACTGCACCCTATGGAATTAACTTAAAAGCATTAGCCAGCAGTAAAACTCTATTTACTGTCTCTCACTCAGACCTTGTCCCATCAATTGTCCTTTTCTCTTTCTCTTCCCCATTTCTCCACAGTTTCTGCGGGATATGGGCGCCGTTCGTCTGTGTCGTGTGGTGCGACATACGAAACCTGGCCTTTTCTCCGCCCGCCCGACGTACACCGTCTCCGGTAGATACACGTCTTCCCACCTTTTTTTACTCTCATGCTCTGTTTTCACGCTAAGATATGCCTACCATCTCCCTTGTAAATCCTTACTGATCTGAGAGCACCTGGCGGTCACACGAGTTCTCTCAGACGCTTGCATGGTCGGTAACCTACTATTGTCTGGTTTTATGGTTCTTTAGATTTTATACCGAGTGCGAGATGTTACTGATTCTCACCTCTGTCTTCCCAGAATCCTTATGCATGAGCGTGTTACTGGAAGGATAACCTATTAGATTGGATTATCCAGTGTAATGTCTGTCTTCCCATTCTGCCCATCTATTCTGCTACGTATCTCAACTGCTTATGATGACCATCGCGTGCTCCACTGTGTTTGAAACTAAAGATTACCGAAGAATTTTGACGCTCTTCACGGGGGGTTCTTCCCAGTTAGACTCACTCATGCTGAAAGTATCCTTCCATAAAAGCTTTGGATAATCCTTTCATCTTATTGGAACCTTTTGATGGCCCGATTTTTTCGAGCGTTTGAACTCACCACCATGCACCTTGCATGCAAAATATTCTTGAGAATGTTGGGCTGTTCTCTCTAGCTTAGTAGCTTGCTTACCAGACTAGACATCATCGTTGAAACTTTTTCCTAGGAGTGATTCTCGACCTGCTTTTGTCTCCCATCAGAGATCCATACTAGATTTCAGTGGTCACTATTAACCTTCTGCGTTGAATAGGCTCGTGGCGGCTTGGCCATTCTATCGCTATCCTTGTCCCATTGACCTGAAACTAGATTACTGATCACTTCCTGAGCATTTTTACATTCGTTCCGAGTGGACGCCCCAGTGTATTTGCATTCTCTCCGGTTTCTTGATGTTCTTCAGCTTGGATCAGCCGTCTTTAGCGCCTATATATACGGATATCAGTGCTTTCTAATCATGTCGAGGAATGTCTAATCCCTGTTCGTGGGACCTTGTATCAGGCTGGGTTGACCCACATGGTATCTGTTGCTGTTTCATCAGCTGCTTTTGTGAACTAGTTCCGAAACCTTTCCGTTGATTTATAGATGTATGTGACCCTGAGAAGCACTAACAGTTTATTTACCACCCAGCATTCCCTTTTTTGTTTGTTTCGGGCCCTGTCGTAAATATGGATTATGTCGGCTTTTTGGATATCAAATAACACAGAACATACTCCGTTTAGGCACGCCATAGTGAGTTCATGCTCTTCTGAGAGTCCTCACGCAATTTTGCATGCTGTTTGATCACGGATGACGGCGGTGACCCACGTCACTAAGCTGCTAACTGTGGGGTCACACGGCTCATCCTCTCCTAACATACACGTCTCTGTATGCAGCCGACTGAGTTGGTCTTTCAGAAGCACTGGCTAAGCTTCTCACCATCTTAGAGCATCGTAATCCAGGCGGGTTGTATATTGCCCTTTTGCTCTTTTAAGATCTACCCAACGGCCACATTTCCTCTGGCTCTCTCGGTGTTCGAACCTATGACCGTGCGTCTTACAACTTAGTGACTTATGTCACTATGCCATGAACGACGGCTTTGACTCGTGTAACTGCGTTACTAACTGTGGTATTACGTGGCTTGTCTCCAACCTGGTCGTGAGCATGAAATTGCCGCCATCTGTGTCATAGAAACCTGCATTACATTGGAAGATATAGATGGGGCTTAAATAGCTATTCACAGCTTCCGTGAGTGTGTGGCTGTGTGAGTTTCTACTCCCAACTTTCTTACTTTGCATGGACAATTCGTTGAGTTGCGCCGTAAGGCATGGAGCTTGATGTTTTAACCTACAGCTCTCCCTGGACTCTGTGCCTGTTACTGTCAATTATCCTTTCACCGTTTCTGTGATGGCGCTGTTCGGTTTAACTTTGCATGAGATCGATCTCATTTGTAACCGAACCGTGTTGTGCGAGTGTCCTATCGAAATGATCTGATGGATCCAAGAAGACGAACCTGGCGGATTCGATCATCGAACGCAACGGGTATGGCCTTCCGTTTCTGTGTCTGTGTTGATTGATCGCAATTCATGTGCGCTACACCGGAAGTTCCTGATGGTTTGCTTAACTACTCCAAATTAGGAATATCAATGACTCCAAGTCGTTGTTCTTTATGGAAACACACGAGTACAATATGCCGAGGTGTTCTACGAACCGAGCGTATTGTAGTTTCCTCTTATTTACCTTTTCTGAATAAATCGCATATCCCCAAAGGATTAGCTTTTGCGACAATTTGTACATCTTTTCCTAGTTATGTTGGAACCATGGCGTTGCACAGCGTTTGAAGTTTGCAGCCTACTACCTTGTTCACGACTTTCTCGCTAATTATTTGATTTTTCCACGTATTCCGACAATTTTTAAATTTTCACTTATACTACTTAGGTTAAATTATGACGTGTACATACTTGAAGATCACGTGCGTCCATTGTTCTTTAATTACACCGAGGCCTCGGTGCACTTTATTACACTTATCTTTCGACTTAAGTGCTTGCTAAAAATGAAAACACACGCTGTTATTTTGACCTTGAAATAAGGATTTGACCATTTTAAATTGTCACCATCTACATTCTGTGGAGTTAGAGATAACGATGGAGACTTATTGGCAACATCATAGCTTATAAGGCATCTCAAATTGAGTTGGCCGGAACGCTTAAATTTATACAGCTTGTTTGTCAGAATTTTAATGCTACTTCAGAAAACTCGATTACGGTTCGCGCATAAGTGTTTCGTGCTGCTGAAGAAATAGTCCGAACTCTTGTCCACTATGTCGTCAGATATCCATCTTACATGTTGAAGAAAGGACAGTTTATGTCAGAGAGACAAAGGCAATCGTTTTTTGGCCTCTAATGCAATCAACTCGAATCGATAAGTCCGGCGGAAAAGTTGTTGCTCTTTCTCGTACGGGGTAGTATTATCAATTTTGAATGTCAACAGGCAAACCGACGAATGGTTGCGCAAATGTACTTCTAAAGTTCCAGCCATTGTACACACGTCGTTTCCTGCCTCTGTCGTCGCTTATCGACTTGATATCAGTGCACATCACGTGAAACCCAGTGGATTTAGAACCAACATGTTGTTCGGATTGAAGTTTTGCAACGTTGTTTGTTCTTGTTTTCTGTGAGGACGGGATGTGAGACGCTGTGTATCTCACCAATACTCCTCACCATCACACAAGTCTCAAGGGGTGCGTGGATGGACGATTTCAAAATTCCCGCCACCACGTGATCCCTGACAGTTGACCCTCACTCTCTATAGACTGGAATCTATTGCATTGTCATGTGTGAGAGGTTGTTAAGAGGTCAGTGGACGTCTTCATGGACTCTTCGAAGGTACTAAAACACTTTAATATCTTGCCTGTTTAATTCAAGTTTGCAGACGCTTTTGACTTTGCAACGGTACAATTCTTGAAAGTGAAGTTTCTTCTAAATGTAGTTCATTGTTATATTATTTTTTGAGCGGTACAGTTGTTATCTACTAATGCTTATTTTGCATTTTTGCTGAGTATAGATCTTTGTAAATTCCCTTGCGCTCCCTGTACTTCGAATGCAGTACTTGCTCCGCATGATACCCGATCTAACTGTTTTACATGTTTCTTTATCATGATCATGGCGATGTGAATTCGGGTATCGATCTCGAGGCAGATCCTAGCGTGCGTGTTCCGTTTTGTTGCTTCAGCCTGGCTATACTTTTACCGATCACCATGTGTTTCGCATTTATCACAACGAAACCGGTAGTTTATATTATTCCCCGTAACCCATTAGGCTGCTGTGGTCAGCATTTTCCATGTACCTTCAGAACTACTCAAACCAACCGGATCAATGGTTTGAAGGCAGCCAAACTCAGTCTCGACATCCTTTTTACCGCAGGTTGGGGAGGAGTCAGTGGCCGTCTTCCTGTGAAACTTATTCATGGGAAGCAATACCATACGGAGTATAAACTTAGTTCAATTGGCGCGGAACACGGGACTGCAGGTTGTCTCCGATGGTTAGAGGTCCCCATTGCTCGCGAATTTCTCACTGTCCATATCAAATTAGACGTCTCTTTGTCAAAACTATGCAACTCCCCTATATCATTCCTCACAGGCGTAGAATTTACGATAGTTGACGAAATTGCATAGTTGGCTACTCCTCCCCACCTCATGTGCTCCTGATGGAGATTTCGAACAAGTCTCTATTAAACTCGCTGCATTGTGTATCAGACTGTTGAGATGGGCGATAGGATGTCTCGAATATAGCCTCTCTTTAGGACTAGACTGTCCGAGAGTGTATCCTTTTTATGCCTAAAGGACACAATCTCTTTCTTCAAGTTAACTGGATCCACCGTGCCGGGATGCACAGGTCATATATGTGTATTTTTCGTTTGATGTTTATACTGCTACCTACCATCTGTTTACTATGACTTCATGTGATGTGAATACTGGCGAGTGGCCTCCACCATTGACCCTAAGAGACTACTGGCCACTGAAGTGATGGGGATGCCATACTCAATCTTTGTGGCGTTTTTGCTAGGCAATTACCTTTCACTGCCTTGTATGTGTGTAGTGTACTCCCCTCTCCTATTTCACTTGATCTGCTTATGTGTGAGTACTGGTCCCACACAACTCTCATGCTTCAGTAGCTGCAACTGTGGCCTTTGTGCAGCTACCATGACCGTTGGTATATAAGAATGCATAAGCTAATCTCTCATCTTCGAATGAAACGCGTGTTGACAGAGAGTATGGGATTGCTTTGAAACAGTCTCGGTTCCCACTTACCATAGCTGTCAGTCCCATACTTCATGCTTTTTGCCGGACGTGGAATACACAGATAGCTAAATGTGATCCAGCAATTTTTCTCTCTCTCTCTCTGGACACAGTGATTTCTATGGTCTGAAAAGACCCTACTCAGTCGGTACCCCCGTCTACATAGCTGGAACTTAACTATCACCGGTATCTTTGGTACTGTGAAACTGGCCTGTGCCACAGTTCCAACCACTGGGACCTTTTTATCCTCTCTCTCTCTCTTTTCAGATGAACCCATTTTGGCTTCTCCGGAAGAACTCACACTGATCCCCACACCGCATTGTCTCTCCATTGTGGGCGCGTTTTGTGAGCAGTTCCTGGCGCGAACCGAAACTTCGACCAAAACTCCTCATAATGCGACCACTTCAGCAACTTCAGACGTACAGGATAACCAAACCGATTAACACTTGGTGTTCTATTGTAAACCTTGTACAGCGAGAAATGGAAGCGTGTATGTATGTATCCACTATTCTTATTCGCTGTGGTTTTACACCCTTTACTTTTGCACAGTCCATTGTACATATCCTATTTTGTTTAGTCCATTCGCTTCCCGCGATCGCATATCGGGTGAGTTCTGTGGGATGAATACCTTGTCAGATAAGCGATGTGTTTCAATACTGGCTATTTTTTCGGAATTTACCTTTTGTCTTCTTACTGAGGACTGTTATCGTTGTCACAGTGATGTCCTAGCAACAAGCACGTTTTCCACCCGCTTTCAGAATGGTCAAAGTTTCCATTCCTGAAGAGCCGCGTAGCTGTCGAATAGCCCTCAGAGAATAAGAGCAATTTCTAGGTAATGATCACCAATCTGCTATTCGTGATGCGTTACTTATTGTCGCCCTTTGTACTGTCTGTTTATGTTCGTTGGTCCACAACCGCTCTTCATATAATTATGCTCTCTCTAAGATCAACTTGACGTTGGCTCACTCCTTATCGAACTACGTTCCACTGTCCATTTGCCCAGCGCAATTATATCCAGCTCGCGTCGGCTACACTTGGTTCTCTTTTTCTCCACTACTAACGCCTCGCATTCGTTTGCTCAGTTGATTGGTTACCATTGTGCCCCCATATCATCAGTCCGAGTTCGTTGGTACGCTCACTCTGTTCGCTCATTGCTGTTACGATCAATCTGTCTACTAGCTTACAAACTGCGCCTCATTCACTCCAACCTGGGCCAATCCTAGCTTGACTTTATGGCTTATGTGCTCATAGTCTGCTCTCGTCAACAGGTATTTATTCGCCTCCTGTCTGCCTTCACGATGTTGGTCACGTTCGCTAGACTTATCAAGTAACTGCACAGCCAGATCTCTTCACCTTGTCTTACTCCTCCTTTCTGTTTTCTTCTTAGCTTAGTTAGACAACGAGAAACCACCGCTGACTTTGTAGCCGATACTAAGGACATACTCGACTTGTCCTCTAGTCTAAGAGTCTGCGTTCGCCGTGACGCAGTGGTGTGTTACGGGTTAAAAGGCAAGTGATTACGAAGTCCCCGATTCCGCAGCCTTGCAGCCTGTAAAGAAGAGTGCGGTGATCCGGGCGTTAGAAGACTTCGGAAAAGTCAGGTCCGATTTCATCGGCATCTGTTTCGTTCTGTATTGAATCAGTCAGCCGGCATCGCTTACTCTCCCGATTGCTTTGGAGTAAGTCTACAGATTAAGCTCACAAAACACGCGTGTAGCTTAGCAGCGTCAAGTGAGCCACTACCTACTTAACTTGAAGTCTGTCGATATTAACTGCGTTTGTTCGCGATAATGAGCCCATCACTTGGGACATTTACAGTATCTATGTTATTCTGGGCAGAGATACTGCAACTCTTGATCTCCATTCAAATTTTCCGAAGGGTTGAAGTGACTCATTCTATAATAAATGAATAAACTTTTATTCTTGACGATGCGAGATACGCGTATATCGGCATGATCGCGTAAATGCGTACTATATAAAACCTTGATCACAGTGGATCAGGAAAATTGCATATCAGGTCAGATAATGACCATTGGAGGGACAACGAAAAGCTGATTAATAGTTCACTAAAATTGAAATGTTGTTGGTTGGCTTTTAATCGTTCTCTCACATATAAAAAACAGTCTTATCCACGGGAGATAGTATGATGGTGAAACCATGCACTAGGTCCTGTAACACCTAAACTCTGCTCGTATGTTTGACTTGTTGTATTGGAATAATCAAACACTTTGATCATGTTCTGTACAGACAAGAACTTGCTGATGTTTTTTTGGAAATTTGTGTTCGGGAGTGCAGACACGTATTCCGAGCGGAGCTTGTTTCAGACTCTGACGTACCTGTTGAATACTGAATACTACTATTGTATTATAGAGCAACTAGAAATGAATTCTGTACAACTCTTTCGAAATATAGTGAAAAACGTTATAAAAATTGTCAGCCGTGAATATCGTTACCGTTCTCATGTAACATTTAAAATATCTGACTCACGGTATTGCAGGATTCACAAATGTGAGATGTCATCGTAAGTGTGCAATCGTTCTCTGAATCGAATAGTGGTAAAATATAAATCTAACAACGTTTTAAACTGCTGCATAGATGTTGCCTCCATTACATGTTTAAGCAAATTGTTCCAACTATTTACCACTTTCCGTTCGAAGCACATTGGATGGGGAACCCGCTTCACATATCCGGCACGACAAGTTTGTATCTGTGTCCGCGTGTGCTGCATGGCCCTCGTAAGTGCAGCATTGGCCTCAGCATGGGGAACTCACCGAGACGTAGGATACGGTAGGTCATAATTAGGTCGACTAGCATCCGACGGTAGGACAAGGCGTAGAGTGCTAATTTCTCGCACCGGTCTTCATACCCCAAGCCACGTAACCTCGGGATGAGCCTGGTAGCAACGTGTTGGACCCGTACGATATTTTGTGCCTCGCCTCGGGCAATTGGAAAGTAGGCGGGCGAACCGTACTCTAGCATTGGTCTAATGATGGAAGAGAAGAGGCGAGTGGCAACCTCTTCAGACCATGTACCGATGCTACGTTTGAGCGCCCAAAGCATGCGCAGTCCGTTACGATGCAGCCTGTTCGAGTTGTCCACGGACTTCAAATCGTAGCGCGAAAGTAAACCTAGGTCCTTCACAGATGGTGTGGGATATAGCGGTTGGCCGTCAACACCCTTCCTCTGGCTCATAAATACAGACTTGGCTTGATTGACCGGGCGATGAACTTTTGCAGACCATATGGATAGGCGGTTGAGGTCTTACTGAAGTACGCCACAGTCGTCGGGAGCGTCAATTTCTCTCCAAATCTTCATGTCATTCGCAAACAAGACACACGACGACCGGAGAAGCTGAGGTTGATGTGGATCAGGAAGAGAGTGGGCCCCAGCACAGTGTCTTGAGGCACGCCACTTGTAGAGGGATGTCAGTCAGTTAGATGGTCGTCGACCTGTACCATCCACTTTCGTCGAACAAGAAAGTCGCGGATCCACCGATTCAGTGAGCCACCGACACCGCACATCCTGAGTTTGTGAAGGGGAACCTCATGGCTGATCTTGTCGAACGCTTTACTGAAGTCGATGAATATCACCTCGACAGACTTCCCCTTGCTTATTGCCTTCAACCACTCATGCCTCGTCACAAGCAAGTTTGTAATGCATGAGGGGCCTTGCATAAAACCGTGCTGTGCGGGCGTCAGGACCTTTTTTGACTGTAGCAACTGCAGCAATCTATTCTTCACGATTTTCTCAGCAACCTTTGGCAGACTTGCTGGTCCTGGACCTGCATTCCCTTACTGAGTTCTGTTTGTTTCGTGTGTTGTAGACTGCTGATTGCATTAATGTAATGTTGAGGTTTGAAACATGTATATTTCTGTGCAAGATGTTAAACTCTATAACTAGGTTATGCTTCATGCGCCTTAGCCAGAGCTGATCAAGCTCGAGCTTATCGTTATGAATGTTACAGTTTTGAAAAAGCATCTAGGAAGCGTTTTGTTCGGATGCTCTATTCATCACTACAGGTGCTGAGAAAATACCTTCAAGCTGGTGATTGTCAGCTGTTTCGCTATCCTCAAAAGCGTCATGTAGGTTTGTGCGAGATTCACCGGGGCATTTTTCTATTAGCTTCTGGGCGCACAATTGCTCACGCACATCACTGTTTCTTATGAGATTCATCATCATCATAAACAACAGTACATCAGCCATTTGAACTGACGCTTTGCTGTCATACAACCATACCGACTTACGGAACGAGGAATAATAAGAGGGAGAGAAAGGGGACTTGCCGGAAAACCTTAATGCCCTAAGCAAACATTTAGGGTCAATGCGTCTACAGCTTGTCAACAACATGCCATCACAGACAGTTGGCTATCGTGCAAAGATAAGGCGGCATCGGCGAGACAGCTTCCTTGCGGCTTTCACTGCCACGCGTCATAATCAGTCATTACCACACAGGTAACTCAGCAACAAACACACTTTAAACAGGCAGTCTGACTAGGAGACGGTAGCAGACGCGCCACTGATGTCGACTGCGAGCCATGTCCTGTAAAGTCTCGAGCCAAGCACAAGGCGAGTCACGTAGACCTCAGCCCGGAAGGCGAGACGGACCGATGGCACCCAGTTTGGTCGTCAGTGACTTCATTTCCCGCTGCCAAGTCAACTTCTGTCCACCTCGAGTCTTGCGCCACCATACACCTGGCAGACTAAACAAGGCCCTCCTAGATAAGCGGTGACCGGACATACGTAGCACGTGCCCAAGCCAATGCAACTTATTCAGTGCTACCTGTTATTCTGAGGAACCAGCTTGGGTGTCATTGCCTAGCACTCGCCTGCGCATATCATCGTTGCGGACACGCTGGTGATACCGGACACCAGCAATGCTCTGCAGACAGTGATAATCAAAGATTTGAAGGCGCCTCAGATCTTCAAACCGAAAGGACCAAGTCTTACTCCCTTACTGTGGACTTTCAAACGGGCGGAAACCCCTTTCTGTCGCCAAAGCTGTCGCAGATTCAAAGACCCAGTTCTGGTTTTGCAATGTGTACTTACCTTAGTAGCTATGCACCCATCGTTGCAGATACAGATTCCAGGGTAAACGAATTGTTCAATTACTTCAAGTTCTTCGCTATCTGGGATCAATGGATCATCAATTGGCTGGTGTTCCTGCAGCGACGCTGCACTTTGAAGGTGCGAAGCGCATGCAAAATAATGGGACCACTCTACAGAGGCTATTCAGAGTTGACTGCGCTGCCTCAATATCGTTAAACATCACGACGATATTGTTCGCATAATTGAGGTCAACTAGCCTTTCATCAGGCAGGACCTCGATGCCTACATCGTGAGATCCCGCTAGGGAACACTCCATGATGGAGTCCACGACGAAATTGAACAAAATCGGTGAAATCGGACAACTCTGACGAACGCCACGTATTGTCGGAAAGCTATCCGACAGCTCACCATAGACCCTGAGACCGCCTATAGTGTTCGAGTACGGAGCACGTAAAATGTTCACATATTTCATGGGAACACCCTGCCGCGCAAGTATTTCGAACAGAACGCATGGATCGACTGAGTCGAAGGCACTCTTTAAGTCAAGGAACACAGCTATTGTCCGTCTGCGGTATGCGTGGCGCTGCTCTAGCACCTGCCGCAAAGTGAATATATGGTCTATACA